CATGCGCAAACCAGACTCCCCTGTGCCATGCGACTGTGCTGGATGTAGTTCGTATATGGTTCCATGTATCTTTTGTTGAGAAAGTGTCTTGAAAGGTATCATTCTTCCCACGCCAAAGGAATCTGTCCTTCTGCTCACTTCGCCGCTGCCACTGCAAGTGTAAAGCTTCTTCAATTGCATTCAGCTGGTCTACACGGTGTCTTCTTCTTCGACGGGTTGTCCAAGCAGCCGCTAGAGTACTCATCTTATTTATGCCCAAATCAATAAGACCCCGTGCTCCCACATTTTCCACCATTCTGCCCATCGGCGACCACTTGTCATACCAGAATGAAGTGGTCTCCCCATTTCCCACTTCTACTTGACAAAACGGTTTTGCCATTTCTCGATACTTTAGAAGTTTTCTCCAGAGCCAAGAACCCGCAGTACGACCAGCGTTGATTGACCAAAGAGAAGCTTGTTTTAGAAGGTTTTTGTGGATCCATTTGACCCATAGAGAGTTACCATGAGAGACAATACGCCATATGAGCTTCAAACAACACACAGTATTTGCTTCCTTTAGCGACCGCAGGCCCATCCCACCCTCCGGTTTTGGTTTACATACAGTTTCCCAAGCGATCTTGGCTTTATGCGGTTTCAAGTCGGGACCCGACCAAAGGAAGGCTGAACAGAGTTTTTCTACTTCCCGAATACATTGACTTGGAAGTCTATATGCGGCCAACCAGAAATTACACACACTCCATAAAACTGAGGATATTAAATTGAGCCGGCCTGCAAAGGATAAGAAACGTGATGTCCAAGACTCAATTCTTTTCCGTAGCTGTTCAATCAACGGCTTATAGTCCGCAGCTGCGAATCGTTTTGTAACCAAAGGAAGACCCAAATAACGGACTGGGAGCTGACCTATTTCAAAGGGGAAAAGAGCAGCCAATTATTGCTTCGACACCTCTGGAACCCCTGCTAAATATAAAGTCGATTTCTCCATGCTTATTTTTAATCCCGAGCATTTAGCAAAATCTTTGAACACCTCAATAATTCCCTCTACTGAGTGCACTCTCCCATCCGATAAAACCATGAGATCATCCGCAAAACTTAAATGAGTGAGGCCAAGATTCTTACACCGAGGATGATATCCAATTTTTTTTTCCTCAGCGGCTAAATCGAGCTTTTTAGAGAGCACGTCCATGCATATGACAAACAAATATGGTGAAAGTGAGCAGCCTTGTCTTAACCCTCTAGAACTCCTGAAATATCCCGCTAAATCACCATTTACTTGAACCGAAAAAGAAGCCGTGGTAACGCAAAGCATTATCCATTGAATGAAAGTCGGCGGGAAATTCAAAGCCGAGAGAACTTTGCTTAGGAAGGACCATTGAACAGAATCGAAAGCCTTGGATATGTCAATCTTTATAGCGCAACGAGTAGAAACGGAGTCCTTATGGTAGTCCTTCACGAGTTCTGTAGCGAGCAGCACATTCTCAATCAAGAGGCGGTCTTTAACAAACGCCGATTGATTTCCAGCAATAAACTGAGGAAGAATGACTTTGAGTCTATTGGCAATAATTTTTGAGATGACTTTATAGATCACATTACAACATGAGATAGGCCGAAAGTCCTTCATCTCCTTTGCGCCTTTTTTTTTAGGAATAAGGGCCAAAATGGTTGCATTTAGTCCCTTCGGTAGAAAACCTTTTGCAAAAAAAGATTGTACCGCCAAAATAAATTCCTTTCCTATCAACTCCCAAGCTGCCTTAAAAAATTCCGATGTATAACCGTCAGGTCCGGGAGATTTGTCATTTGGCATGGCGAACAAAACCTGTTTGATTTCCTCTCCTGTGACGAGACGGGTGAGACTATGGTGATCCGCATCTGAGCATCGGAATGGTAACAACACTTGTAGTTCCTCTACCGTAGTTCCATCAAAGTCGCTTGGCACAAATTGCAAAAATTCCCGAAAGTGTTCCTCTGCTTCAGATTTGATGTCTTCTTCACTTACTAGAACTCTACCATCTTGGCATACCACTTCTTTTATAGTGTTCTTTGCTTTGCGGATAGCAACAGCTCTATGGAACATTTTATTATTCTTATCTCCCACGTCTAGCCAATGTAATTTTGACTTTTGCTTTAAATACTTCTCCTCCAGACCAGCCAATAGATCCCATCTCTTATAAGCTGTATTCTCCTCTTCCATCAAGCTTGGGCATGGATTTGTCAGATTGGCTTGTTGCTTTTGACAGAGAATGTCATAAGCTTCCTTTGTCCTTTTAACCAAATTCCCCACACGTTCCTTAGCCAGACTGCGTAATTTTGGTTTAAGTCCCTTCAACTTTTTAGAGAACCGAAATAAAGTTGAAGTAGATAAGAATAACTCCTCTGTGTCGTTCCAATACTGCTCAACCACTGGTAAAAACTCTACCATCTCCGTAAGCACGTTTACAAACTTGAAAGGCTTTCGACCATGAGAGGTGCTGCTTCTTCCACTAATTTTCATAATCCGACAATGTAAATGATCCGAGCAACCCCCTGCCTCGAAAACACTATACGCTTGTGGAAAAGTTCTTAACCACCCATCATTCATTAAAACTCGATCCAACTTCTTCAAGATTAAATCGTTTTCCCGCTTGTTACACCATGTGTAAGTTGGGCCTTGATATACCATATCGGAAAAAGAACAGTAGTTCACCAACGCTTGAAAATCCCTCATACCCGATGTGACAAGAGGATTGCCCTCTACTCGTGAGTGTTCAGCCATGTCGAGCGTCACATTAAAGTCTCCTATAATTAACCACGGTTTATTGCGGAGAATAGGAGAATCATGATGATCTCGTAGTTCCTGCCATAAAACTTTCCTTTCCTCCATAAAATTTGAACCATAGACAAAAGAACAGAAAAACTCCTCCACTTGATCTTCTAACTTCACCGAACAAGTAATTACTTGACTGCTCTTAAAAAAAGGGCTCAGTCTCGTGTTATCCTTCCAAAGAACCCATATGCGACCCCTTGCACTGTGCTCATAGTTTGTTAAGATGGACCAGTTTTGGAATAGCTCCCTTCCCAATCTCTGTGCTTTCCTCTCTCTAACTCTTGTTTCTAATAGACAACCAAATTGAAAATCATTCTCTTCCACCCACTTCTTTATCACGGAATGTTTTGAAGTTTTATTTAAGCCGCGAACATTCCAAAAGAAACCCGACATTAATGTTTGGAGGAGTTTTTCTTACTCTGATCTCTAGAGGAGTCTCTAGACGACGGAGCCGGATGGTAAGGAACAGTTTTATGGGCTGTCTTTGTCCCTCTCGGTAGAGATGATCGCAGAGTCACTTCCCGTGGAACCCGACTCTTCGCAGCAGTCCCTTGACTAGGTGCAGTGTCCACCAATTGAGTCTTTGATTGATCCAGAACTGTATCAGAGTTGTCCCCTGTTTTTACTTCTTCATCAACAATACCTTCCTCCGCCAGAACAGAGTATGCATTTGATAGGATTGATACTTCCCCATATTTTAAAACGTCCTTGCTCTTACCCGGACTGCTCCTACCCGATTTAGGGGTGATCCAGCCCTCTACCTCTTCCTCAATCTGCTTTTCTTCTCCCTCATGTTGTTTTTCTTCAACATGTTTCTCCTCTTCAGTTAATGTAACTGCTGCATTTTGAATAAGAGATCCTACCTCAGCGTCTGCCATAACAACTGTGGTAGAGTCTGAGACTTCCTTAACTTGAGTATCCTTTACTGCAGATAAACAAGTGGTACTGAGATGTCCCCATTTCTTACAACAAGTGCATCTCGGGGGCAGCCAAGGGTAGGAATAGTGTATTATCGTATCCAATTCACCTTCTTCTTCACCCGTAAATGTATACTCCTTTGGTAGCTCCTTTGTCAAATCCGCTTCTACTAATATTTGTGCTTCGTCGAAACTGACACACGCCTCTGTTTTGGGATGTAGCCTTTTTGGTTTCCCCACTGCACTAGCTAGGAACTCCAAGCCTTTATCCGTAAACATAGTTGGAGGGACATTCGATAGCTTGATCCATAATGGTATTGATTTCATGGCAGGTTGTGCTTCCTCTGCAAACGGAGTCCATTTAGAGACGATCATTGGGATATCCATGATATTCCACATGCCTCTGTTCAAAATTCTATGTCTCATTCCTTCATTTCGAATACGAAATTTAACTGTGGATTCATTCACTTCGTAAACATCAATAAGAGAAGTTCTATCTCCCAATCTCCATATCTTATTCACTATCATGTGGATCTTACCCACATGTGGTGCTTTCACGTTCAAGAATTTCCCAATCAGAAAATCCTCCCAAAGCGGCTTGGCTCCGACAAAAACCTCTTTTGGTACGACTACGTTCTCGCAGCCGTCGACTTCCGAGACCACAAACTTTTGCTGAGTAAAAGTTCGCTTCTGCGCCACTTGGAGAAACGATCTCTTAACATTTTTGGCCACCGTCGTTTGACTCGATGATGTGATGTCTTGAACCTTGTCTGAATTGGTTTCCCGTGAAACCTCCATCGAAACTTCAGCAGATTTCCCCTCTCCTCCCTTTGTCAACAAAGGAAACTCTTCTACCAGACTCACTGAGTTCGCCGGAGACGCCACCCCATCTCCCGGCCCTGAACTCCCCTCACGACGGCCTGGAGAAGCCGCCGGCGGCATCGAAAACGTGGTAAGAAAGCAAAAACCCTAGTCGCCCTTTTTTTCTCCCTAGCCACGTCAGCAAAGAAGTATATCTTTGTGTTCTTGGTTTCCTAAGTTTTTGATGTAGGAAACTTCTAGACGATTCTAGAAGATTTAGAATTCTAGATTACATTATTTCTTTTTTTTCTTTATTATGTTAATTTCTATTGTTTTACTTTTTCTTCATAGACTTTTACTTTTCTTAATTTATTTATTTCAATCTTCTTTCCTTTTTTCTAGTTGGGATTTATCTATATAAAGAGGTCATAGGTTCTTTGTAATAGACATCTCATAATTACTTTCTTAAGAAGCAAAAAGCTTTCTCTTTTCTAGTGGATTCTAGAGTTTCTGGTGGATTCCAGAGTTTTATCTTTCAAGTTCATCGCTTGTGAACTTGTGTTTCAATCTAGGTTTAGCGCTTGCTTTTCCTAAGGTTTTCCGACTACGTCAGGTGGTATCAGAGCAGGTTTTCTCCTTCTCTTTTCGAATCTTGATCAGCCATGGGAGATCAACCAGTGACCAAAGCAGATTTTCAAGGTTTTACTGTGGAATTAACCACGGCCTTGGCTGCTTTGACCAATCAGATGGAGGCGTTGAATAACAATATTACCAACGCAAATCAACAAAGAGATAGGAGAGAGGAACCAATTAGGGTTCAACGAAGAGGAAACAACCGGGTGGTGAAAGATGAAAATTCGAGTTCCGATGAAAAAATTTCGGAGGACGAGGTAGCTGATCAGGGAAATCGACGAAACATTCATGACTATCGAGTCAAAGAAGATATTCCATTGTTTAATGGAACTATGGGAGTTGAAGAGTTCTTGGATTGGTAGATCGATGTTGATAGATTTTTCGATGTCATGGGTGTTCCCGAGAGTAAGCAAGTTAAGATGGTGGCAATCAGGCTGAAGAAAACTGCTGCTGTGTGGTGGGATAAACTTGTTATTCAAAGGCAGAGACAAAGGAAAGGACCAGTCAAGACTTGGCGACGTATGAAACAACTAATGATGGAGCGATTCTTACCAGAAGATTACGAGCAAATTCTCTACAAGATGTATATTGATTGCATTCAGGGAAAGAGATCAGTGACAGAATACACCGCTGAGTTTTTGCGTTTCTCGGAACGTAATGATCTTGGAGAAACTGAAAATCAGAAAGTGGCGAGATACATAAGTGGTTTAAAGGGTTCTATACAAGAGAAGATGGGTTTGCAAACTGTATGGACCGTGCAAGAAGCTTCTAGTCTAGCCTTAAAAGCCGAGCTAATTGAGAAGTCCTCTCGTGGTTTCTCATCATTCAGGAGATCTGCACCTCAGAATAATTTCGATTCAACCGACGATAAAGAGAAGAATGCCATAATCAAGGATTCTAACTTTGGAAACAAGGGAGCTGGATCAGCTGGTACTTCAACTAGTAATCGACAAGAAAAAGCACCAATCCTGAGGCAAAGTAATCCTTACGCTAAGCCATCTGGTGACAAATGTTACCGTTGTGGAGGACAAGGCCACATATCAAATGTTTGTCCAAGTAGAAAAATTGTTGCTTTAATAGAGGAAGAAGAAGAAGATGAACATGAAGAGGATAATGAGTATGAAGGAGTCGAGTTTGCTGAAGAAGAATCGCATAAAAAGGTAAATTGTGTACTTCAAAGAATCTTGTTGTCATCCAAAGAAGAGGGGCAACGCAAGAATTTGTTTCGAACACACTGCACTGTTCGAGATAAAGTATGTAACCTGATTGTGGATAATGGTTGTACCGAGAATTTAGTTTCTCAGAAGCTAGTTGACCATTTTAAGCTACCTACAGAGCCACATGAGAAGCCATACGCTCTAGGTTGGGTAACCAAGGGTACCCAAGCTCGAGTAGCACTAACTTGCAAAGTTCCTATCTCCATTGGGAAGCACTATAAAGAAGAGGTACTTTGTGATGTTCTTGATATTGATGTTTGTCATATTTTACTTGGTCGACCTTGGCAGTATGATAATGATGTTACATATCGAGGACGGGATAACGTGTTGATGTTTACATGGGGTGTACACAAGATTGCAATGGCTCCGGTTTTACACTTTCATAAGGATTCAGTAAAGAAAAAGTGTAGTTTCTTGGTGATGACGCATAGTGAAAAGGAGCTAGATGAATCCTTTAAAGAGACTAACTGTTTCTATCCAGTGGTGATCAAAGGATTAATGAGTGCTGTGAAAGAAGAGATGTCAATTCCCGAAGATGTGCTAGAGATATTAGAAGAGTTTAAGGAGTTGATTGTAGATGAATTACCGAATGAATTGCCTCCCATGCGAGATATTCAACATCAAATCAATCTAATTCCAGGATCTAGCTTACCAAATCTTCCTCATTACCGTATGAGTCCTAAGGAGAATGAGATCTTGGGAGAGCAGATTGAAGATTTGTTGAAGAAAGGATTCATTCGTGAAAGTATGAGCCCATGTGCAGTTCCAGTCCTTCTTGTTCCTAATAAAGGAAATCAATGGCGGATGTGTGTTGATAGTAGAGCTATTAACAAGATAACTATCAAGTATAGGTTTCCGATTCCTCGGTTGGAAGATATGCTTGATGAATTAACAGGTTCTAAGGTTTTTTCGAAGATAGATCTTCGTAGTGGATATCATCAGATCAGAATCAGACCTGGAGATGAATGGAAGACAACTTTCAAAAGTAAAGATGGATTGTATGAATGGCTAGTGATGCCTTTTGGTTTATCAAATGCACCTAGTACCTTCATGAGGCTAATGAATCAGGCTCTTCGTCCCTTCACAGGTTCTTTTGTGGTCGTTTATTTTGATGATATTTTGATATACAGTAAAACCAGAGAGGAACACTTAGAGCACGTGAAGCAAGTGTTGCAAGTTCTACAAAAGAACCAGTTGTTCGTTAATTTGAAGAAGTGTGTATTTAGCACCAACAAGTTGTTGTTTTTAGGATTTGTTGTTGGCGAGGATGGAATTCAAGTTGATGAAGATAAAGTGAGAGCTATCAGGGACTGGCATACACCTCATTCGGTTACAGAAGTACGCAGTTTCCATGGTCTAGCTACTTTCTACGGGAGATTCATCAGAGATTTCAGTACTATTACTGCTCCTATTACCGAGTGTTTGAAGAAAGGTAAATTTTACTAGGGTTATGAGCAAGAGAAAAGTTTCGACTTAATCAAAGAGAAGCTTTG